CTCCGAGCTGGTTGGTTGCGGCTGGAGGCCTAGTGGAATATGGTTGCCCGCAGGTGCATTTTGGATCGTTTTGGGGTGCCTTCAAAGACCAACGACAACTCTTTATGTTTTTTCTGTTATAAGGAATGGTTGATGTGTTTAAACTTGATTGGTTAATAAAAGGCCGTGTTGGCCATTGTACTCCAAAATTGGTGTTGTGTTTTCTGTAAGTATAGTAAGTAAAGGGGATTGGTATGGAAGGGTAATGGTGGTGTAGTGGGGTCTGGATGAACCTATCTCGGGTGCACTAGTCATGACTCAAGGTAAGAGATATGTCACCAGCACACCAGAGAACTCCATAAAATGGTCCAACGCTTTGTTGAATCACAGCAGAAGATAACATCTTTTTGGAGCCACATAGGACACCTTCATCAGGCATGTGACCATCAGGTTACAGCTTCTGCTGTGATGTGATCATTCAGTAAAACATTGGACCCTTTTATGGCGTTCCCTGGTGACATATCTCTTGCCTTTTCTATTCTGGTGTGGTTGGGGCCCCAATGGAGAAGGTAAATGCGAACTGTCTACCCCTGCTTTGCAACATGTATGTCTGTAACCTCGAGTATAGCAGACCTTCTGGGCCTGGCAAGGACCCACTCCTGGGTGTCAGGGCTCCAGGTATGACCAGAGGTGTGTGGACTGACACAGAGAAACGCAGGCTTCAGGTATAGAGTAAACAAGACACTTTATTAAAGACTAAACAACACAAACACAGTGCAAGGTAAACAGAACACAGTGCAAACAACCCAACCTCCAACAGATAACCATATATACAATCAAACATAGTCAGGCAGGCCAGGTCGATAGCAAACGGGCAAACAGGGTACCAGGAGCGAGCGGAAGAGTGGTCAGGAATAGCCGAGGTCAGGACAGGCGGAGTTCGTTCAGAGTCAGGATCAAAGCAGGATCAGGCAGGAAGCAGACAGGATGCAGGTACAGGGGCTCATGGGAAACATACACCAAGGCACTGATAACAGGCCTGGTCCTGCTTAAATACACCTCCTGCAATCAGCCTCAGGTGATGGCCTGATTGCAGGAGTGAGATTCTGGCTGCTGAGAGCACCCGCTGGCCAGCCTTGGTACTGCAGCCCACAAGACAGGTGAGTCCCACCACCATTGGCGAGTCCATTCCTGACACTGGGGGACTCATGAAAGATCATTTGGTATGATGGCTGGACTCCAGTCAGCACTGTGAACGTGAAAAGAGGGAAGATGTGAAATTGCTGTGCCTATTTGTTCTTCAGTAAATCACTTCAAATGCACTTTGTGTGGACATTCTTTACTCAGGAAGCATGGCCTTTGGCCAGAACATGTGAGTACTGTGAAAAGGTGAGTCTTGGGCCTGGAGTATTGGTGACACAATATGGTGGAATTGCTTCCAAAGGCAGGTGCATGTGTGCCCTATCTGGAGAAATGGGGTGGGGCCTGGGCCTGTTTGGTGGGAACCACTGTCTGATCCAGGTCCTTTACAAACTAATATTCTACCTATCCACAAGAAGAGTAACAAGATAGAAAACTAACCTCAGAAAGTATTATTTTAACGGAAGAGTAGTTGCTGCTTGGAACAGACTTCCAGCAGAGGTAGTGAGTCAGTCAACAGTAAGTGGATCCAAACATGAGTATCCCCCTTGTTCTAATCAGGGGCTACTAGCCTATATTTGTTTTTGGCTGGGTGGTAGTAAGCCCAGAATTGTGTAGTTCTTCACTTGGATTTCCCTGAACTCAGCAGGGTTGTAATTTCTCACTGTTGCCAGTAGGAGTCACTGGTACTACTGGCCATAGTATGAGATTTCATAGACAAGAATTATGAATATTTATATTTCCTTCATTCAATCCAGTAGGAGGTTTAAGACACTGGTGCATGCCGGGGGAGGATATAGGATATAAATATTTGGGGCAGGCCATGTGCTCTCTCTCTCTTCCCCTGGACCAGGGGCAGACTGACCATTTGGAAACTCGGTCAGTAGGGGGCCCCATGAGATGCCCCTGGTACCTTTTTCATAGGCTTTATGAGTTTGGGCAAGGGCACAGGGGCCCCATGATCCCCTACTGCCCGGAGGCCCCATGAGTTGTCAGTCCGCTCCTGCCCTAGACTGAGGTCTGGGGAGGTGCTGCTGGAAGGAGCTCTAGGTACAATAGCCTGTTGGGGCCTAGTGTGTGCTGAATATGGACCTGAAGCTGTCCTGCCTGGTGTGGAGGAAGCTGTGGAAAGGAGAAGACCCAGGGGAGACCCTTGCTGGAGAGAGCCGGGAAGAAGGCTGGATTGCAGCCGGGCCTGGTGTCTCACTTGGAAGATGCACTAAAGTTGGGGAATGACAGGTCAGCTGGCCATTGATCTTGATCCAGAGAGTCGGTGAGTGATCTGCCTCGTATCTGGGATTCCCTATCACTTACCTACTTAAAGCGGAGCTCCACCCAAAAGGGGAATTTCTACTTTAAGCCTTTGTCCTCCGCTCCCCATTAAGGATTGACACCTTTGGGGGAGCAGGGGGGAGCGGGTACCCAGATTTGACAGGCACCCGCTACCACTTCTGCTGCAATCACCTAGGCAATCAGAAGCTGAAGTTGTCCACCCCCCTCCCTCCCTGTAGTATTCTGGAACACGTGATAGGTCCCAGAATACTACGTTGCCATTCACAAAGCGCAGCCATTCTCGCGCATCCCATGCGCAGTGGACACCCGGCTGTGAAGTCGGGTGCCCACACTGAAGATGCCGGCGCCAGAGAGAGAAGATGGCCGGTGAACGGTGAAACCAACGGTGGTGAGGACATCGCAGGACCGGGAGACAGGTAAGTGAGTGGTGGTGAGGACACCGCGGGATCGAGGGACAGGTAAGTGGGACAGGTAAGTGAGCAGTGGAGAGGACATGGCGGGACCGGGAGACAGGTAAGTTGCTGTATTTTAAAAGTCAGCAGCTACAGTTTTGTAGCTGCTGACTTTTTTTTCTTTTCTTTAGGTGGAATTCCGCTTTAACTGCTCTGCACAGGGCCGGGACAAGGGCTGGGCAGGAGAGGTGGCTGCCCTGGGCACAGTGGGGATTTGGGGGGTTGTGTTAGGAAGGAAGATTTTGGGGGGATATTTGTGCTAGTAGGGATGATTGGGGGATTTGTACTAGGAAGGGACATTTTGGGGGGGGGGAAGGATTAGTGCTAGGATTTGTATGGGATTTCTGCTGGGAGAGGGGGATTTGGGGGGGGGGGGGATTTATGCTCAGAGGGGAAATTTGAGGTGTAGAGGACTTGTGCTAGGAGGGAGCATTTTGGGAGGTAGAGGATTTGAGCTGGGAGGGGGGATTTGTATTGGAAGGGGGGGATTTTTATTTGGGAAGAATTTTGGCTTGCAAAGTTAAATGTGTGCTTAGGACATGTGCAAGTGTGATGATTAGTGCTCAAATGATTTTTTTTGGGGGGGGGATTTTTGCTGACACATAATGCTCATACATATTGGGGGGGGGGAGGTGCTGTGTTTGCCATCTTCGCTCTTGGTGCTGGATGACTTTGTCCTGGCACTGGTTCTGCAATAAAACTCTAAAAAGACAAAAGTGACTGCCTCCCAATGTTCTGTCTCAGCCCCCCCCATTTTTGCCATGGACCCTGGGGTGAAATGCTAGCCTGCGTCCTGCCATCCTATCTGGAGGTGACATCCTATCTTTGGGATGTCAAGCTGGTGGTTCCACACATGGCTGGGACAAACATAGATCAGAAAAGCTAAAGCCCAACGTTGGGTAAAAAAAGTGTTTTCCCTTGCAGTGGGGGGGCAAAGGTTAACTGCTCGTTTGTTGTCTAGGGGATTGGAGAAGGTAGATACAGTATATTCCCCTAATCCTCCGATCCCCCCCAACACAAGTGCAACAACTCCAGTCTCTGCAGCTTCTCCCCCCAGTCTAGCAGTCGTGTGTGGTGGACTGTTCCTGACGTCATCACGCTCATAGACCTGCTCTGGATGTGAGGACGTCAGGAACAGTATATTCCCCTAATCCTCCAATCCCCCCCAACACAAGTGCAACAACTCCAGTCTCTGCAGCTTCTCCCCCCAGTCTAGCAGTCGTGTGTGGTGGACTGTTTCCTGACGTCATCACGCTCATAGACCTGCTCTGGATGTGAGGACGTCAGGAACAGTATATTCCCCTAATCCTCCAATCCCCCCCAACACAAGTGCAACAACTCCAGTCTCTGCAGCTTCTCCCCCCAGTCTAGCAGTCGTGTCTGGTGGACTGTTCCTGACGTCATCACGCTCATAGACCTGCTCTGGATGTGAGGACGTCAGGAACAGTATATTCCCCTAATCCTCCAATCCCCCCCAACACAAGTGCAACAACTCCAGTCTCTGCGGCTTCTGCTCCCCCCTCGTGCGCACACACAGCCTAGCAGTCTTGTGCGGTGAACTGTTCCTGACGTCATCATGCCTGTAGACCTGCTCTGGACGTGAGGACATCAGGAACAGTCCACCACTGGGGGGGAGGGACCGATTGCCACTAGAGTGGATGATCGGGTGAGTATTAGCTTTTTGGTCGGCCCCCTAGGCAAAACAAGCAGTTACAAAAAGAGAAAATGCCATCATCCAGGGTGTGACCACCCATCAAAAAGGTCTCTCTGACTCCCCCTATGTACAGGAGAGGATATATAAACCGAATATGAGCATACTAGAAAAGGTTAGCAGTTGACCAGGACAAACTTCAGAAAGGACGGTATTATAAATCCAATGCAGAGTAAACAAATACATCAAAAATAGATGCAAATCATGTATTACTGTGATCACTAAGATCCGGCTTCAACTATCACCTCTACGCCGATGACACACAAATTTACCTCTCCACCCCTCACCTCACCCCTTCAGTCTCCGCCCACATCGCCCACCTACTGAACGACATATCAGACTGGATGTCGCTCCATTTCCTCAAACTGAACCTTTCCAAAACCGAGCTCCTAATTTTCCCCCCAGCCCGCGCCCCCCCCCCCCCCCCCCCCCCATCCTCTCCATCACCACCAACAACGCCCCATCAGTCCCACCCCCACCCCGCAAGCCAAAGTCCTGGGTGTCACTCTAGACTCCAATCTGTCCTTCCAACCCCATGTCCAATCGTTAGCAAACTAATGCAGGCTCCACCTCCGCAACATCTCCAAGATACGCCCGTTCCTGACCCCAGACACTACTAAACTACTCGTTCACTCCCTTATTATCTCACGTCTGGACTACTGCAACTCCCTTCTCACCGGCCGACCTCATCACAGACTATCCCCGCTTCAGTCTATCCTGAACTCAGCAGCCAGACTCCTCCACCTTACCAACCGCTTCGTATCCTCCACCCCTCCACTGGCCTCCACTCAGTGTCCTCCACCCCCCTCTGCCAATCCCTCCACTGGCCTCCACTCAGTGTCCTCCACCCCCCTCTGTCATTCCCTCCACTGGCCTCTAATCAGTGTCCTCCACACCCCCCTCTGCCAATCCCTCCACTGGCCTCCACTCCAGTGTCCTCCACCCCTCTCTGCCAATCCCTCCACTGGCCTCCACTCAGTGTCCTCCACCCCCCTCTGCCAATCCCTCCACTGGCCTCCACTCAGTGTCCTCCACCCCCCTCTGCCAATCCCTCCACTGGCCTCCACTCAGTGTCCTCCACCCCCCTCTGTCATTCCCTCCACTGACCTCCACTCAGTGTCCTCCACCCCCCTCTGCCAATCCCTCCACTGGCCTCCACTCAGTGTCCTCCACCCCCCTCTGTCATTCCCTCCACTGACCTCCACTCAGTGTCCTCCACCCCTCTCTGTCATTCCCTCCACTGGCTCCCGATTGCCCAACGCATCAAATTCAAACTACTAACATTGACGTACAAAGCCATTCATAACTCCGCCCCAACTACCTCACCGACCTGATACCCAAATACCACCCAACCCGCAATATTCGCTCCTCACAAGACCTCCTGCTTTCTAGCTTCCTGGTCTCCACCTCCCACGCCCAACTGCAGGACTTCTCCAGGACTTCCCCCATCCTCTGGAACTCACTACCCCAATCCATCAGACTGTCACCTACCCTCCTCACCTTTAGGCGCACCCTGAAAACCCTCCTCTTTAGGGAAGCCTACCCCACCCTCACCTAACAGCTGATCTCCTCCACTCCTCCCACCACTCCATCCCCCACAGCCACTTCCTCCTGTACCACTATCCCCTCCCTCCTAGATTGTAAGCTCCAAGGAGCAGGGCCCTCGAACCCCTCATGTATTGTATTGTTACTGTATTGTCTCATGTTCTGTCCCCCACTATAATGTACAGCGCTGAGCAAACCTTTCTGGCACTATATAAATACTGTATAATAATAATAATAATCCTCTGAAAGGTGGGCATATGACATGGTGAATACACAGTCAAGAAAAGCAGTGAATTAAAAGGAGGAGAGGATCTTAGTGATCACATTGGATTTAAAATACTTTCTGCAGTTTGTCCTAGTCAACTGCTAACCTTTTCTAGTAAAACAAGCAGTTAGCCCATGCAGTAAGGCTGGACTTGGCCTTAACCCCCTGGCGGTATTCCTGAGTGTAACTCGGGGTAAAGTTTTAGCACCACAAGCGGTAACCCCCCCCCCCCAGCTACACTCGGGAATACACTGCAGCGTTGCTACCCGGGATCTCTTCTTCACTTACCTTGTCCTCAGGGGCGGACTGACCATTTGGAAACTTGGGCACTGCCCGAGGGCCCGGGGGTCAGTAGGGGGCCCCATGAGATGCCCCTGGTACCTTTTTCTTAGGCTTTTTTGAGTTTGGGCAAGGACACAGGGGCCCCATGATCCCCTTTTGCTGGGGGGCCCCATAAGTTGTCAGTCCGCCCCTGCTTGTCCTGCGCTCGCCTCCTAAGCCGCGATGTCCCCCCTGCAGTGTCCCCTGTAATGTCCTCCGGCCGATGCCGGCATCCATCATCTGGGTTCCGTTCCCTGCGACGTCGGGACGTACGGGGGATGGAACTGGCGGGAAAATTCTCAAACTGTAAAAGTGACATTCACTAAATCCACTAAAATCACATCGTATAACATTCCTGTATCCAACCATTTCACATAACATTGTGTCCCGAGTGCTTTGTCCGGCGCCCTGCCTGCATTTTTACCGCCCTTTCTGCTGGAAACTGAGAAACGTCCATGGCGTCCAAAAAGCGTCCCTTTAGGTCAGACGCGGTTTTAGACCGGCTAGAGAACAGCGATAGTAAATCAGAACCACTTGCAGAATTGAGTGATAATGATTGGTGGGGGAAATTCCTCATCAGACACTGAAAACGATTCTGCGACTGAGCTCAGCGATGGGCCAACTTGGCGCTCTATTTCACATTTCAGTGTTTTTGGTTTGATTATATTATTGAATTACATTTATTATTATTTTTTATGATTATTTATTAACCTCCCTGGCGGTCTGATTATGTCAGTATTTCTGTGCTCAAAGCGGTACATTTTTTTGCATGGAAATATTTAGTTTTTTTATTGTAGGGCCGTAATTTGTAGGAATAACTCCCTGAAATCTGTCCGGACAAGAGTCTATTAAACATTCCGGATATGAAAAAACTTGAAACACGAAATCATAAATTATAATTTAATAAATAATCATAAAAAATATTAATATAATAATAATAAATGTAATTCAATAATATAATCAAACCAAAAACACTGAAATGTGAAATAGAGCGCCAAGTTGGCCCATCGCTGAGCTCAGTCGCAGAATCGTTTTCAGTGTCTGATGAGGAATTTCCCCCACCAATCATTATCACTCAATTCTGCAAGTGGTTCTGATTTACTATCGCTGTTCTCTAGCCGGTCTAAAACCGCGTCTGACCTAAAGGGACGCTTTTTGGACGCCATGGACGTTTCTCAGTTTCCAGGCAGAAAGGGCGGTAAAAATGCAGGCAGGGCGCCGGACAAAGCACTCAGGACACAATGTATGTGAAATGGTTTGATACAGGAATGTTATTATGTGATTTTAGTGAATTTAGTGAATGTCACTTTTTGTCATTTTCAAATTTCCCGCCGTTCCATCCCCCATACGTCCCGACGTCGCAGGGAACGGAACCCGGAAGACAGATGCCGGCATCGGCCGGAGGACATTACAGGGGACACTGCAGGGGGGACATCGCGGGAGCGCAGGACAAGGTAAGAGAAGAACAGATCCCGGATCAGCGCCGCATGGTAAGCCCAAGTGTAGCTGGGGGGGGGGGGTTACCGCTTGTGGTGCTGAAACTTTACCTCGACCTACACTCAGGAATACCGCCAGGGAGGCTCTTGTTACTAGACTCTTGTCCGGACAGATTTCAGGGAGTTATTCCTAAAAATTACAGGCCTACAATAAAAAAAATACATATTTCCATGCAAAAAAAATGTACCGCTTTGAGCACAGAATACTGACATAATCAGACCGCTAGGGAGGCTACAAAAAGAAAAAAAAATTCCAAAAAAGACACTTAAATTAAAAAAAAAAAAGAGGCACTTGTTCTTTTTTTTCTGCCGCCGCTCCTCTATGTTTCTATGACTTCCATGGCGCGCAGGTTATTGTATCTTCCCCGAAACTTGTGCACAAACATTTGTCACAACTTTGCTCGGTGACAATCACTTGGCGAGCGTCTTCCCTGGCGCAGAACCCGAGAGGCTTGATATAGGATTAATGGCGCGCCCCGGAACTCCGGAGTCAGGTTAAATCACACTTAAAGAGCAGAGCCAATGCTCTCTGCTAATACACATCATAAACAAGCGGCGCTTTGCTGAGCGTCGCCGCGGAAAAAAAAAAAAAAAAAAGAATAAAGTTTGTATAATAAAACAACGTCAGCGTGATGGATGGGAGCGAACACGCCGCCGTACAGCCCAAGATAGCAGCATTCCGGTAACAAATTGCTATTAGGGTAACGCACATTGCCTATGCACATACTCCCGGCGCTGACGGCTGCAAGCCTGAATAAAAAGCAGACGCGGATATATTGTTTTTCAGACGTTCAGTTTGTTATGGGTGCAATTATCAGCAAAACAAATCAATAAACGCCAAATCTATTATCCCGGATGGGAACGGCAGGTCACGCTCTGATTACTTGCTCCCGCTATGGCTGGGCGCCGCTGATAAATATTTTACATATTTTGTTTATATCAGAAACGACCGATTCTCACATCACTGCGGCGTTTAGGAAATCAGGGTTTTTTTTTTTTTTTTTGGCGTACGGCTTTGCGGGTTATTTATAATTTTTTTTTTTTTTTTTTTTTTTTTCGTTATTGCTCTGCATTTTGCCTAATTTAATAGAACATAAGAAAGCCCAATTACTATTAGCATTAGCATATTTTACTGGAGGATCCGGGAAAAGACTCGCAATTTATATGGTAATAAAAATTTTAGCTTTATGACATTTCTTCTGAATTAAAATGAAGTAAAAAGTTAAAGTTCTCTGGAGGGAAGGTGTCCATGGACTGTAGATCGGGGGTAATGAATTAAAGTTCAAGGAGGTCCAGTTGCTAAAATGTTCTTCCAGATGAGATCCGAATCTCTCTTTTCAAGTAAAAGAAAATAGAACCACATCAGAGTACCTCTTAGTTCAGTATCTCCCATCAGAGTGCCCCCCTTTATCAGGTTTCCTCATCAGAGTGCCCCATACATCAGATGTTCCCATCAGGGTGCCCCCTTACCTCACTTGTACCCATCAGGGTGCCCCCTTACATCACTTGTACCCATCAGGGTGCCCCCCCCTTGTACCCATCAGGGTGCCCCCCTTACCTCACTTGTACCCATCAGGGTGCCCCCTTACATCACTTGTACCCATCAGGGTGCCCCCTTACATCACTTGTTCCCATCAGGGTACCCCCTTACATCAGGTGTTCCCATGAGTGTGCCCCCTTACATCACTTGTACCCATCAGGGTGACACTTTACATCAAGTGTTTCCATCAGGGTGCCCCTTACATCAGGTGTTCCCATCAGGGTGCCCCCTTACATCACTTGTACCCATCAGGGTGCCCCCTTACATCACTTGTACCCATCAGGGTGACACTTTACATCAAGTGTTTACATCAGGGTGCCCCCTTACATCAGGTGTTCCCATCAGGGTGCCCCCTTACATCACGTGTACCCATCAGGGTGCCCCCTTACATCACTTGTACCCATCAGGGTGCCCCCCTTACATCACTTGTACCCATCAAGGTGCCCCCTTACATCAGGTGTTCCCATCAGGGTGCCCCCTTACATCACTTGTACCCATCAGGGTGACACTTTACATCAGGTGTTCCCATCAGGGTGCCCCCTTACATCAGGTGTCCCCATCAGGGTGCCCCCTTACATCACTTGTCCCCATCAGGGTGCCCCCTTACATCAGGTGTCCCCATCAGGGTGACCCCTTACATCACTTGTACCCATCAGCATGCCCCCTTACATCACTTGTACCTATCAGGTGTCCCCATATATGAGGTTCCCCATTAGTGTGCTCTCATATAAGGTGTCCCCATCAAGGTGCCCCCTTACATCAGGTGTCCCTACAAGGGTGCCCCCTTACA